GGTTTCGATCGCATTGCCGTCAACATCCTGAACCACAAGCGTTGCCTTTTGGTTGTTGATGTAGGCGGTGGTCGTAGTAACGTTGGTGGGCTTGATCAAGGTACCATCAGGAGGAGTCGGCCTCTCCGTTACAGAGGGCATCGTTTCATCCCCCCTGGTGGTGTCCTCGGGTGGTGGCCCTTCGTCACTCACGGCCTCAGGCTCGACGATGAGAATGTCCAATGGTGGAACGTCACTTTGTTGCGGTCGTTCGGCTTCTTGAGGTTCATTGGGAACAGGAGGCGCATGATGTTCAGGCTGAATCGTGAAGTGCAAATGGCTTTTGACTCCGCGATTAGACGATGATGCAGGCTCGTCCTCGATAACGATGGGAACCTCGGCCTCGGCTCTCGCCGGGTTTTCATCGCCTGCTCCTGTCCCTTCATCAACCACACCACCGGACCTTGCCCACAAAGTGAGGTCCTTCGCATCGTCGTTAATAAAGAGGACGCAGTGGCCTGGAACCGGGCTTGCTGTGAGGTATCCTTCCGATTCGGTGAGAAAGACTTCGCACCCTGCGTCCAAGACTTCTTTGGTGTCGAAGGTAATCTCAATCGGAAGGCTTGCACGTACCCCGGACTTAACTTTAGCGTCCTCAAGTGGAGTCCCGCTAAAGTAGGCGTGTGCCTTTCCTGACCGTCCGTAGCCGGGAATCAGGCTATCGCTCAGTATTGAGAACGCAGCGTCTCTGGTGGTCCTGTGGTACAACCGACATGGCGCCTTGTCGAGTGGGATGATCGGCCTGTCCTCTCGGACGGCTTCGTCTCTCTCGATCAACTCGGCCTCTGTCGAAGCACTGAGCCACCCCACTGCGATGTCCTCGTCACCGAAAGTCCGGGCCAGGTTCTCGTGATGCCCGTGAACACACCTGACGTAAACAGAAAAGGCAGGCTGACTGATGGTATCAGCCGCCTGATCAATGGGGCCACGGAAAGAAAGACGACCCTTGTTGTCGTGGCACATGAGCTCGAGGAAGGTCCCAACGCCGAAGTCGACCTCTTTGACGCGATTCACGACTTCCAGAACCTCTCCCAAAAGCACCCATGGCCCGTCCCAAGA